GCTTGGTATCGCTTGGCTTCCCTCCTGAACCCAACCCCTCAAAGGGCTCCCCAAACGCTCGCGCCGTGTCGCGTTTCCTCCGGGGCTTCCCCACGCTCGATCACTTTGGCTCGCCTGCGCCGCGGCGGAAAAGGAAAGACCCGGCGAGTCTGATCACCTCCCAGCCGCTCACCTTTCCGACTCCGAGGTCCGGGGGCGGATACGTCCAGCCACCTTCAAATCGCAGGGGAAACAACCCCAAGTCTGTAAATCAGCCCGGCGACCTTGTACTTCCAGGTCCAGCAGAGGGATGAGACGGAGTTGGTACTCGATTTTGGCTCTGTAGTCTATTTTAGTAGGGGAACCCTCCCCCAAAAAAATGCGTCAAAGGGCACTGGGGGACCTAGTAGTGATTCTACCTCCCCAAAGTGAGGGGCTAAATAGTTACTTGCACACGTTCTGCTCCCATTGATCTTGTCTTTGTTTAGCAGCACCCCGCTACCGGAATGAGAATCTTGGACGATGAAAGGCACAAGAAAAGGGCTATCTGCCCATGCTTTGGCCATTCTTATCACACCGAAATGAAACCCATCACAAAATGTCCCCAAAGGAATGCACATCCCATGCTTCATATGGACCAGGGGCACCTGAGGTGCTTTGGGTTCCAAGCGACATGGCGTTCAAAACATGCACTCCCCAAATTGATCACCGCCCAACTTTCAAGGCCTTCGCTGCCCTTGGTATCTGCCCATGAGTGATCTCTAACTCTTGGGGATCCCCAGAGTAGAGCCGAGCCAGCGCCTCTCCACATCCACTGCAGGCAGCGCAATCGGCATCAAGCATTCCAAAACGCGGAATCAAAGCGAATGCTCCTGGTTACCTCTGAAATTCGATCCTTCGGATGCCTCCCGTGCAAAATAACATGGAACCTTCCAAAAATAGAGAACGACATGCCTCCGCAGCGGTTGTTTGCGATCCATCTTTTCTGATTGCCACCTACGGGCTCAGACGCATGCGGCAACTTACGACAAGCGACTCAGTCCACTTCTCTTGCTTTTGTTTGCGCTGGCTAGCTGTCCATTGCCTCATTCACCTGGTGCCCAAAAGAGACCCGAGTGCTGTCCCATGTTCATTCTCTTTCAAAAGTATCCCCACCAAAAAGCAAAATGCTCAACCAACTTGTGATATTCAACAACCACCCTGGGTGGGGGGCACTACGGGGAACTCCGCGTGCATTTTGGAAAAGGAGCACGGTTCATGTCTGCCTTTGCTCCAGATTCAGGGCTGCTGCCTGTCTGGTAGCGGCTGCGAAAGAATATCGACAACAACCCGCCCGTCTCAGGTGGGGCGTTTCTTGCCAAGCAAGATGCACAAACAAAAACAATCATGCGGGTGTCCGGCCGCCTAAAAAGCATGAGGCGTAAACAATTGCATCCCATACACCCCGACATTTGGGTTGGGATTTGCATGGACCTTGTAGCGGTATAATCAGAGGCTGCACATCAAACCGAATGCCTCGACTAATGTTGACCCCAGATCAATTCAACCCAGCGGACCAAGGGGGGGGGCTCCAAAGGTTTGCCCCCTCACGGGTTAATCAATCTTGGGTCGACATTGCCACTTTTATATGGCCAGATATGAACTCTGCAAGGGATTGAAGAGCACCATCCCAAAACGGCCACTACAAACGCAAAAAGAACAAACTGGAAGTGTAGAACTCCTTTTTAGGGTCCCTCAAAGAACCCTCCACATCATCTAAGGGCCAAAGGCCGACCCTGAAGATAGAGCCCATGACCCAGTCCACTCACTGGGTCCCTACGTGTTCTCCACATTTGCGGGGCTTAACGTTCAGCCCTAAACCTAGGGGTTAAAAGCGTATCCTTTCAGTCGGCAAAGATGTAGGTCCCAACGGTTGACCCAATTCAAACCAGCATTCTGTGGTGAGTTTTGAGGATGCCACTTTGACCCCAGATCCAGGCGCACGCCATTTCTGTCGCTTGCACGCTGTGTCGCTCACTCTTGCCGGCGTCTCTGTCTCCTCTTCCATGGAGGCCTCGGCTATGGGATCCAATTTGCCACTGTTAGCTTCGGATATCTCCGGACCCTACTGACGAGTGGCTTCCCTGTTGGATTACAGGGGTTCCTCTGTGGGGGTTCCTTTGCCTCCGGATGAATCCTATGATAACATCAAAGCCCAATAGCCAAAATCCATAGACTTGATGTTGCACCATGGTTGCACATAATTCTGTTGGACATAACCAGCAACAGCAAACCAGAAAGTGGAACCCGGTTGAAGAACAGTTGCCAGACATGTGGTTGAAATGAGTTGGTTGACAAGTCAAAAGGAACCCATTGCCTTGTGGTCTCTAGTTGTGAGACGCCGATGTTCACGAGCCCACAAACCCATGTATTTGTTGGTTCTACCACAGGTGCTATAAAGGCAAACATTGGTCCTTTCTTCCAGCGCTAACTGTTACTAACTGATCTGTACCGAAGGCCAAGGGGGGGTTAATGGTGGTACAAGGCTCAATGTGTGTCTCAAAGGGCAGGTAACGCCATCTTCACATTTTGGACGTCAAGACATGAAGGCTTCTATTTACCACCAATGGTAGTTTGTAAGGCATCGAGCATGTGCCCTCGCAGAGTGATTTGGTGCGTGGTTCACTCCCCCACACCGAAGCGCACAATTCCCTCAAAAGGGACCCAGGCGTCCTTTGATCGGTTGGGGTACAAACAACCCTTTGGAAACGCCCCAAGCTGCAGGTGTGGGTTTTTTGACGGTACCCTTTTCGGGTTGGTACTTCTTGGGCAACCAAGATCAAGGCCCTCATTTGGGGGTGCCCTTATGGTTGGCACAAGCTCCTACGTCGCATTCAATTAATGCGATTTCTTGGCGTATCCCAACCCCTGGGTCAGTTGCAGCTCCTCCTCTCTTCTGCGCGTCGCCTGAGACAAGTGAGCCTTTGGAGCTGACCCACCGGCATTTGAGCCTTTGGAGCTGACCCACCAGCTGGCCTCTAATGACTCCAAGGGTTTTTTTGGCTGGGATAAGTGGCCCCTCATAAGATCACTTTCGCCTCGAAGCGCAGGACGTGGCCCTAGCTTTCACCATGAGGTTTAGAGGCCAAGCCCTCCAAAATGAGCGGCCAAGCTGGAGCGATTGCACGGTGGCCTGGTGGTAGGGTCCCTGACCGAGTTTTCTGCCCGACTCTGTCTCATCGTTTCCACCACCAACAAGAACTTGTCTGGTTCTGTGGCCACGGGCAAAAGACAGGGGCAGCCTATTTGTGTTGTTAAGCCGCCTCCAGAAAGAACCAAGGTCATGATGAAAACAAAGGGGCAACCCAATTGTTGCCTCATGTGCTGTTCAATTCTGAGGCCTCAAGAAGAACCGCAACAGAGGAACCACTGGGTGTCTACCAAAAAACAGCTCAACAAAAAACAATCAACACAATTATGGTCAAAAAACAACACAGTCACAAAAAAAGAGTCACAAAAGCAGTCTACAAAAACAACTCTTCAGTGAACCGTCCACAAAACTTCAAGCAGAACCGTCCACTGGGCGCCAAGGTTCGACGCTCGACGCCCGCTTTCTGAGCTCCTGGCCCCGGACGCCGGCCTGGATTCGCCCGGATTGGCTGAGCCTAAGACTTGTCCTTGGGGTAATAAACGAATGTGATATCGGTATGGATCAAAATTCAACCAGGATATGGACCACAGGTTTCTGTTTTCCCTGTCTCTAGTTTCCAAAACAAGCCAGAATGTAGTATGGGTACCTAGGTCCTCCAGATTTGAGAGGCTAGAACAAGGGTACCCTTCTTTCTGTAGTCTATTTTAGTAGGGAAACCCTCCCCCAAAAAAATCGTACAAGGGCACGACTGTATGGATCAAAATTGAACCACCAGCATATGGACCACAGGTTTCTATTTTCCCTGCCATTTTGGGGTTACCAGTTCGATTTTTGACGACCACCGCCAAACAACATGTGTGAAGTCCTTGTGGCTCCCTTTGTGTCCGGGGTCCATTTTTCCTGCGGAAAATTGACCTTTGACCATCTCTTTGTGGGTGGTGTGTTTTGATTGATCATCTCGTTTCTGCAATCAGATTCTGTCGAATTGGATACCAAGAGCAAGGCTTGGGAAGGGACACTGACCAGCAGCTTTGGAGCCAGTTCGCTGAAGGTGCCCAGAAAGAAAATATTTGATTCCCCAAAAGGGAATCGCATGGAAAAGTCTACCTGGAGTTTGCTTTGACAAAAAACCTGGAAGCGTCTTGAACAACATGCTTCACGGGTACCCTGAGCTACAGGTTGGTGTAAATGGGAGGCAAGAGGCAAACCACCATTTTGGGATGTCCCCCTAAAAAACTACATACCCGAATGGAGCCTCAAGGAAACAACGCCATCCAGTGCGGTCTGAGCCATACAAGGCTTATCGTTCCTTCCACTGGCAGCAGGCATCTGTGTTTGAGGCTCCATGCCCTGTTTGGGTGTGTTTTAGCACAACCCCCCTCTTTCCGAGTGTCCAGCTGCTTTGCCGAAAGACACATTTGGAGACAAACCCAGCCAGTCTTTGCCTCTTCGACACGTCTGAGATCTCGGGCAAGTAAACCTCTGCAGGTGCTGGTTGATGCATCACCTGGAAGTTCTCGTCTTCCTGCCAACACTCGCCAGGCTTGAAACTGAGCATCCATTTGGGGCTGTGTTCAAATAGGGCCCCAAATCACGCCCATAAAAAAGAAACACAGTGAAATGGTACCCTTTCTGGTGTGTCTCAAAATAGAGAAGCTCCCGAAAATGGTGGTTTTCCATTTGGTTTCCGCCAGAGACCCACCTGAAAAAGGGAGACCGAGCCTCAATCAACACGCACGTTGGGTTCCGTGGAAGATAGTTCAGCAGAAATTAAAACTACTAGTTGTTCATTGGCTGATTTCTGGTTAGGGCCAGGACTTGACTCCATAGATGGCTCGGCCAAGATCTCTTTTTTTTGGCTGATTCACCATCGAAGTATCTCTGGCTGGGAGGGCAGCCTTTTGTTTGCTCCTTTGCTCATTCTTTTGTGGTAAAGCAGATTCTCAGTTCCACGCCCCCACAAGCTAAATCGTATTCCCGACTACGGAGAAGTATCCGGGCTTGCCAACCAAAGCTGACGACAAATGTATTGCATATATATATATATATATGGGTTTGTTTGCCCGAAGCCTTAGATTCATGTAGGAATGTGCACATCGACTTCTCCAAAGTGGATACTTACCGCGTTGTTCGCTGTTCCAAGCTCATGTGTTGCTTAGATTATTGATCAGTCTCTTGACTGTGAATTATCCTTGGTGGGGCTGCACCACTTTGACAGCATTCCCTTTAGCTTCCCCTCGAAATGCACCCAAGAAAGTGTGCCTCGAACAAACATATACATGCACCCACACGCAAACACACATGGGACGTTACACAATTCGCAACAGAATCACAATCAAGAGCTGATTCCAACAGGGCCTACCCAAACACATGTAAAGAATCAAGGGCCAGTTGCACCTATTATTGTTGGGACTGTCCTTTCCTTTCCTTCACGTGGGTGTTGATTCTAGCTCAGATCTTGGTCCAAAAATACATGTTCATTCTTCTGTTTCATATACTTGGTCTTCTTTGGGAGAGCCCCCCCACATAGATTATTCTTGCTTTTGTTAAAACAACACATTGCTTGTTTACAAAAAAATGGTTTCATAAAACACACACACACACACAACTTCCATTTGCTTAAGCCCCCTGGAAAAATATGTCCAGTAGCCATAGATTCCTTTTAAAGCCAACAGGGAAAATAAAACATATTCTTAAGCACATGGAAGACAATGGTTTTGGTCTATTCTTCG